ACGTGGCATTGCGCTTCTTGTCTCTGTGCCACGATCACCATTCGTCCTTGGAAACTTCATTGTGCTCGTTTTGATTTTATTACTCCTTTAAACAAACACCAAACTACATACATCTATCTCTACTGCAATCAGAATGGCAGCCAACCCGTCCCTTGAAGTCTGCCCTGACTTCACCACTGGACGCTTATGCAAACATCTGCCAAGACATCCACAGAGCCACCGGGGAAACCCAAGAAAACATCATTAATCGCCTAACCGAATCCTGGACGGCTGGTCACAACCAAAGAGTCGCCGAATGGAACCAGCAAAGAGAGAGAGAAGCCGCCGACGAAGCCGAGGCAGAACAAGCGTGAGCAGAACAAGAAAGAGAACTCTGTGCGCTACAGGAAGCCGAGGCTGAGAGAGAAAGGGTCGAAACTGAGAAGAAAAAGCCAAAAATGAATAGCTTCAATGAAGCAGCCTCAGTAGGAGACTCTATCTCTCCTCGTCCCTCGCAGTATGCAGTCCAAAAACTCAACAACTTCGAATATGTAGAGTTATGGTATTTTTCCCCCGATGGATGCAAAGAGGCGCTACTGAACAGCCCGCTTGGTGGCAGACGACTACGGTCTCACTAGAGTTAACGACCAGCTCACTCTGCGCCCCGCATACGCTTTCAAAGCCTCAAAAGCAGCCATCGCCAATCACGACCTCCCAGTTTTCAGTTTTCCTTCAGCGTGAAGAACTTATTCTTAATGCAACTCAGCAAAGCTAAATGGCCCCAAACCCACATCGATGCTCTTTCCCTCTTCTTCTGGCACTTGGAAAACCACACTGTCCGCAATAACAGCGACATAGGCGACTTAGTGATTCTCAACTACGCTTCACGTGTCCAGCCAAGATTGGCACGACCGTCTCAAACGAGACGAGGGCTTTAACATTGCAATCATCAACTGAAACCCTCCTCCAGTTCGATCAATGAGGAACTCTGGGACAAAATCCGCTCTCGTTCATTAGCCGCAGGTACATATTTACTCCCACTTTAACACTGGACATCTGTCTCACTAAATAATCTTTGTTTTCTATAACTCTGATAAACACTGTACCACCGACGACAATACTCCCACCCGCATTTTGCTCACGTGGATGCCCACAATATATTGTGGATGCCCACACATTAATTTACGCGGATGCCCGCATCCTTGCTCACGCGGTTGCCCACATGCTTTCGCACATGGATGCCTGCACCTTTGTCTTACGTGGACATTCCCTCATGCACCCAGCCCAAGACGAGCAAGTCCTCGTCAGGCCACTCCCAGCATTGTAAAACGAGCTATCGTGACTACCATCGCGATTCTCGTCGGGAAAACCACGAGTATAACCGTCGTAACTCTTGCTCGTGTTCGCCTCGCCGGAACGGCAATGACAACCAGAAGTCGTCGCCTGACAACACAAAGAACCGCCAACAGCGCCGGCAGGGTTTTTCCCATGGCGCAGGCTCTCGTGGCCGGTCAGCCTGCACCGTTTGCCTCGGCCGTTTTGCCCACAACATTCAATGTTGCAACTCTGCAACACTGTGGGATGGAACCTCCGCCTATTGTCACAAATCCAACGACAACCGTCTCATCAATCCTCAAGGAAGTGCCCTCTGCTTCAAGTGGCAACGACCCAGTGGTTGTCACACTGGAACCCACGAACTGCACCACGAATGTTCCAGTTGCGGAAGCAAGGAACACGGCGCTCAAGGATGCCCTCAAAGCAAGAAAGGGCAGAGCAGTCACACCTTATAAGCCCGAAGGATGGGCCCGTCTCCTCAATGAGACAGGACTTATCAGTAGATACCCCCATATCCCAGAATGCCTCGTGTCAGGTTTCTCCGGGGGCATTCCCCCGATCAAATGTACATACAAGCCTCCTAATAATCCCACCATCGAGCAACACTCAGAAGCTTTCTGGAGTATCATTAATCTTGAGTTTTCGAAAAGACGTTTCTTTGGCCCATTCACAGCGAAAGACCTCGAATCAACCGTCGGCTGCTTTCAAACAGCCCCTCTTTCACTCGTACCCAAACCCAGAAAGCCAGGGAAATTTTGTTTGGTACAAAATCTGTCCTTCCTGTACAACCCTTCCCCCTCTGAACCTATTAGTTCCATTAATTCACAAGTCGATTCCGACTCTTTCCCCTGTACATACAGCACATTTTCAACAATTTGTCTGTCAATATGGTGCTTACCCCTGGGCTCACAAGGTGCCATTCGCGATGTTGTGGAGGCGTATCGCACAATACCCCTCCATCATTATCAGTGGGCCAGCTTGGCAGTTCGTCTCCCAGGTGAAGATTCATTTGCCGTTGATACAGCCTTTTGTTTTGGCTTCGGACCCTCGGCTGGAATATATGGGAATATTAGTGATGCAGGTCTGGATATATTACGTGCAAAAGGCATTGGACCTGCCTCCAAATGGGTCGATGACCATTTGTTTCTTCGTATTAGACATGAATTTCTGGAAGAATACAACAAAAGACGTGCCCAATGGGCAAAGGACATTGCAGATAATGGAGGTGTCATTTTCAGCGGCGGACGGAAATGGTATAAGGGAGCCACAATGCCAAACGACTCAGCCGAGGAATTCGACAAGGATGTATTCTTCCCTATTCAAGATCTATCCAACCTTTCCCCTCGATCAGAGGAGGACGCAATATTCTCTTACTGTATGGCCGACATTGATGAATTCTCGTCAATACTCGGCATTCCTTGGGAACCTTTGAAAGATAAACCTTTCAGTAACAGCCCCCCATTCACAGGTTTCATTTGGAACATCGCAGATCGCACCGTGGATCTCTCGACAGACAAGTATATTCGTGCGATCTCAGATTGGCAATCGAAGTGCACACACACGCTGCAAGAAGTACAAAAGCTGTACAGTAAGCTTCTACACGTGGCCCACATTATTCCCATGGGCAGAGCTTACCTCACCAACCTCGAGGCCATGTTGGCCATGTTCAACGACCGTCCTTTCCTTCCCCAAACTCCCCCGCGCAACACTCCAGACGACGTTCTCTGGTGGAAAGATGCCCTCAACAAACACCACATACCCCGCCCAATCCCCGGACCATGTATCATTCAAGAATTCCATGCCTATTCAGATGCTAGTTCTGGCCACGGAATTGGCATCTTCATCAATGGGCGCTGGAGAGCATGGGATCTCATCCCGGGCTGGAAGAGAGACAGTCAAGACATCGGATGGGCTGAGAGTGTCGGCTTCGACCTTCTCGTATGCACAATCATCGATGCTAAAGCCGCCGGAATTCATTTCAAGGTCTACGGGGACAACATGGGTGTCGTCGAAGGATGGTGGACAGGCCGTAGTAGAAATCGAGCCTCAAACAAAGTCTTCAAATGTATTCATCAAATCGTCGCTGGTGCCAAGTGCACAGTTCTTACACGATATGTACCTAGCAAAGACAACCCAGCCGACGGCCCCTCCCGTGGGGTATATCCCCCCACGAGTCATTTGCTCCCTCCAGTCTCCATCCCCGTCGAACTCCAGCCCTTTATTAGGGACGTTTCCGAAGCCACCGCAAATGCTAGAACCACTGACAGACAACGCCGGTCATCAGGCAAACCATTTCTCCCAATGGGCAGTAACCACGCCGATTCAGAACTCCGACGCTGCACATTCATCAACCGTGAATTCGAGCGCAAAGGAGAAGAACTGTTTAAAGTGTCGCAAAACTAGTGAGTCCCATAACGATGAAATGTGCAACCCCTCACCAGTGCATACCTAACAATAGCCTATAACACCAACCTTACTCCCCTCCCATCCGTGCTCCGCCCACATTGTTCTGCAAAGGAGAGACTTTACCTTTGGCTCCCATCCTCTTCGCGAGACGCACGAGACGCACAAGGGAAAATCGTTCCCTTGCTCCCAACAGACCTCCAGCACATCCGGGAAACCATGATCCACGCGTATGCAGAAGCAACTCGCGAAACGTATGGATTGGGTCTGTTGACCTTCCATGTTTTCTGTGATAGCAAAACAATACCCGAACATCAGCGTGCACCCGCGAGCCATATCGTCATATCATCCTTCATTACCTCCATGGCAGGTCACTATTCAGCCAAGACAATAGTGAATTATGTTTGCGGTGTTCGCGCATGGCATATTTTGCACAGTGTGACTTGGGCTTTGAACGAGATGGAGATAGACACCCTCCTTAAGGCATCAATTTCTCTCGCACCAGCAACCGCGAAAAGAAGCAAACGGGAACCTTATACCATTGATTTAATGACCGCCATACATCAACAACTCGACCACAACAACCCCCTTGATGCCGCAGTCTTCGCATGTCTAACCACCACCTTTTTCGCTACCGCTCGCACCGGTGAATTCACCGTTCCTCGTCTCGACGGATTCGACCCCGCCATACATGTCAAACTATCCAATGTTAACGACACTCACGATCGACAGAACTTAGCCATGAAAATGTTCTTCTTACCTCGCACGAAAGCCGCTCCGGAAGGGGAAGAAGTATCATGGGCGAAGCAAGAAGGGCCCACAGATCCCGAAAAAGCCTTCTCCAACCACCTTCGCGTGAACGATCCTTCCCACAACGGCGCTCTTTTCGCGTATCGCCACAAGGACTCGTACCGTCCGTTGACGAAAACCAAGTTCATACAACGCCTAGCTTCAGCGACCAAAGCCGCTGGTCGCCAACCAGTGCAAGGCCACGGTATTCGGATAGGGTCGACTTTAGAGTACCTGCTCAGAAATGTCCCCTTCGATGTGGTAAAAGTGAAAGGCCGTTGGGCTAGCGACGCGTTCCTCGTCTATTTACGACGACACGCACAAATCTTAGCGCCGTATATGCAAGCTACTCCCGCGCTACAAGATCAATTCCTTCGTCACACCGTTAACGTGCCCCCAGTCCGTTGAAAACTACATTCTCAACTTGACAAATGGTAAGTCCCCTCCTCCTAATCGTTGGGAATCGCAGCTCACCTCTCTGTCCCAGGTTAGTTTCTCGGGGCCGGAAGACGCTGCGCGTCCTCGCCCGAAACCTCTCGTTCCACCCTTATAATAGTTAGTATCTTCCAGCACTCGCACATGTACATTGTCCCCCGCTGGCTCGCGGTGCAATGACCATTTCGTTTCCCTTGATCACGTCTAAGTGAACCTCAAAGACTTGTTACCGTTTGTAAAATCAGAAATTATTGCTTACCAATATACGTGATTTTACTCGCTAGACGAGAGAGCAAAAGCTACACATAGATATCGTTCTCAGTTTTGGCTTGCTATTTCTCAGAGATTGTGGATAAAAAGTCAAGGTTTGAAACTTCTTTGGGAGGCCCAATGCACCTTGTCGTTTGTCGTTTACGCGCGCATGTGCCCCATATACCCTCTACATTTATCCCTGTGACTACAATACAATGATAATGAACTACGTTACACAGGGTTGGACCGCATTGTGTCCAATTCCACATCACTGTCAGTCGATACTTGTCCGAGAGCCTGGAAAGCAATCGCAGTTATACCGGTCTCCCCGTCAGACCTAGCCGTGAGCTTAAAATGATATTCTCGAATGCTGAGGATCAGACGTGGTCCCAGCACAAACATCTGCAACACTCGTGCAACTCGAAGAGCGCCGGCATAGATATCATCTGCCATGGCTGTTGAATGCTGTAGAAATGAAGGGGAGGGGTCAGATACAGGTGGGAGTCACGAATTAACTCACCAGTAATTGTGGAGACAAGTCGCCGAGATTAAAGCAAGCCACAGCAGCAAATCTAGTACAAGCAGAACATTAGTGAGATACTGACTATCAAATACCGGAACTCACGCTAGAAAGTACAACGCGTGACTTTTTATCAACATCGTGAAACAGTCTCCGATGCTGGATCCAGTTCTTGATTGTTGCATTTCACGGAAGCGTAGTATAACAACCCAGACTGCAAGAAGAAAGGCAAGAATCTCCCATATAGCGGTTGGTATCACCATCTCGTGATTTAGATTCATCTGGGGCGTGTCGATCTGGACAAGACAGATATGGTAGCCAGAAAGGACGAATTCCTCTGTTATCCGCCCGTGAGTCTCGTGCGTTTGACGATTTATCAATGATCAAAGCTTACCCCCTGAAATACCGGTGTTTCCCATGACCAACATGGCTCCGGAGGTGATTGTGGAAGCCACCAAGGCTAGAGCGAGAAAGACGAGTATCGGTTTGGATTGCTGATACATGGCATATATCCGGGTCATCATGATGACTCGCACGATATGTCAGTCAAGTCAGCATCATTAAAATATCGCGACTGAGCTCACTGGCTAGCATAGAATTCACGATGACAGGCGTCCATGCTTGCAGGAAGTAGAAAAAATTACCTGAAAAATTCGGTTACTGATTCATCAGTGCACTCGATGCATCAAATCAACTTACAGCTGTTGCAGTGGTTACATTGAAGAAACTAGGCGACTGAGAATGCCACTCACCCCTATGTAGTTGTGCAATTAGTGAGTATTTAGTCGGGCAGGCATTGGTGAAGAATGCCTACTTTATCGGTATTCGAGATTGGAACATTCCCTTCATGCCGTTAGTCAAAGCGAATGAAGGGAATCGAGGATACACACCTAGGAAGCTGACGCTGATTGGGAAAGACGGTATTATTAGCACAGCGCAGAGTCGTTTGATCCGCCTCCCAAACATACATAGCATATAGTATTCCATAATAGCGCACCTATGGTACGACAAAGTCGACGTCAGCGCCACAGATTGTCAACGGCACATAGAATAACACGAGCTACTCACACCAATATATAACAGTTTTATGAGAGACCATCGTTGCTTCTGCTCGGATTGATTGAATTATCCTGTTTGAGCGTCTGATATGAAACTTTCTCACCCAGATTAGCTCGAACTGTAAGAGCATTCTTAGTGAGATGGCTGGGCTGATCGTGACATGATCAACTCACCTCTTGTCCAGATGTTAATGCTTTGATACCATGTAGATATCAGTGCCAACGATACCCTCTGAAAGTATTATTTCGCTCACCCCAATCATATACCACCACGACCGAGGATACAACTGCAAACCACAGTTAAAGTGAGTAAGATGCTACTCTATCATCTGAGTTGCTTTCCACAAACCTGCAGAATTGCTGTAAGAATGAATCCAAATGAGAAACGGCCACCAAGAAGGATCATTGAGATAGGTGTGAGCAGGATTGTGTGCGACGTATGTCATGTTGAGATTGGCGAACTTGGTAAACGTGCAACAAAGGCGGTTGTGCAGATATATAATACCATCCGGGGCTTTTATCGCTACGGAACTTCATTACGTGACGGAGAATGGACTAGCCGCGTGTACTGGGCGGCGAATTTGAAAACATGGGTAGCACTAGTACTAGAAGTAGTAGGATATCTCCGGGAACACCGCCACTTCAGATCAAAACGCCTAACTCATAACCACCTCGGCGCTGCTCAGCGCTCAGCGCCCAGCCTTGATCAAGTACCGCCAAGCGGGCGAACGCATGGTTCACTTTTAATCAGATATCTGAAAGATATCATAGATTTCTGGAACAATCCCTTTGTAACTATGCAGACCTTCAAACATGTTCTTTAGATGTACTAGTGTAAAATCAGATCATCGGGTCCGATCAAACGCCAGTCCGCTGTCAAGCACTGTAGGCTTGGAATTCTACCTCGAAACATGATTTCGTGCAGCTGTCCAGCACGTGACGTCATACCAACTTCTATTCAATCATCAAATTCCCTCGCCAAGCCAAGCAGCGCCGTGGCAGTGAACCAGTTCCTGGAGTTCTCCGAAACACAGAAGACATAGGCCGTTGCACATACCCAGCACATCCATCATTCATCTCTGGTGACCGGGTAACTCAAGATCATCTTTTCAACCTCGCCTTCGTTGAAAATCTTCTTGATGTATTGTCGAGGGAAAAGTGGACTGGAGATCCGACGGAGGTTTGACCCACTGCTGGATGCAGGTCTCAGCAAAGTATACTGATGCACGGGGAGTAAGTAATACATGGCATATATCCGATTCACAGGAAGAGATCCGACCACGACTCATCATTAGCCTCGAATTTACAGGAGATCTAAGACGGTTCAGCGGTAGCAAATGTCGCAAAATTTATGGAATTAGAAAGGCGACTCTGATGCTTTTATCACGTTTTCAACATTACACCGCACAATATAAGATACTTTGACATACAAACCCTCAATCATAGTATATTCACCGACCCCTGCACGACATCGCGTCTCTCAGCAAATTCCATTAATGTCATCGACATCTCGCCCGTTGATGATTCACTCATTTCATTGGCTGATTTCCAAAGGTCAATCTGCATCCGGGTAGCAAGCATCCCTTGCAGGATGATTTGTGTCCTGAGAGAAGTGCAGTAAGATGTTTGGCATACCCAACTTGAAAACACGCCTTACACTTCCATCATTGCATTGTCCTAATTGTGATCGATATTCAGCGCTAGCACTGACCACCGTTTGATTAGAAAGACACTCACATGAGTCGCCACTCCAACCGCACTTATCATATTGATGCCATTCAGTACTAGAGAAGAATATTAATCCACGTCCATCAAAAGTGTCATGTGTGACTTCACCAAGACAAGCAGCGAAATATCCAACATTGTGCTGTACAAGCAGAACTAAAAGCACTCCTCGACTTGCACGATACAATTTGAACGCCCTGTAAACAGAAAGCACGAGAACCTCTGAAGATGCAAAGAAGATTGAGTGATTATGATGATACAATGCAGCGGACTTGCCTAGCTCTAGTACGACTAGAAGTATGTACCCTGCTATCAGAGGCTGTTGTGAATGTGCTGGTAAATCACAGCCTCCAACTGTGAACGCTCAGCGCTCAGTGGCGAGGCAATGTGCGCTCATGTTGAACTCACAATTACCAATAGCGACACTATATAGTGCGAGACAATTAAATGCCCCCGCAAGAATCACCTGAGCATATCTCAGCTAGATGAGAATGTAGATATTGGCAAACATACCAAATAACTGCCAGATAAAATGTATAGAATCCGTCTCTTTTGACCCCACAATGCATATGTTCGAATGACGAAGATACCTAGCACTCTCTGTGAGACATCATTGAATAGAATGCTACTAGTGACGTATCTCACACTCGACACACACAAGGACCAACACAAGCATCCCTAAATAATGAAGTTTTAGGGGGACATACCTCAGCACGGACAGTAAGACGCACAGAGATCAATAAGATCAAGAATTGTGCATTCCTTAACAGATTATAAGAAACGGATGTAGTACACCACGACCGACTCACCATTTTATCGAGTTTTTCCATGGTAGATATGAACACAACTGCAGCATTGTTTGTGAATACACTGCGGCTACAAAGAGTTGACTTGACTTGCTCGGGATTCGAACAAAGCACGCAGTAAGAGAGAGTGCTTGGCATAACCCATATGCGACTGTTGCGAACGACACTCTTTGGCTTGTCCAATAGGCAATCTGGACAAGTCAGCATCCCGTACTTGTTCCAGTGAACACAGCCTACCTCATATTCAAGGTTAATCAAAAAATCATAAACCTATGTCTGGTGAGACAGGATGTCGAAGAGCTGCTGTGCAATATGGCGCGCACCAAGACCACCATCGTAGCAACTGCATTAGTAGGTCATGGGTACATAATTGGCTCATAGAAATGATCTACTCACGAAAAATATACTCCAAAGCAGATGGATGAGCCCGTGATTTTGGTGCGTAATGATATAAACACTTACACTTCCATTGAGGAAATCTATGTATGATGAAGGTGGGATCATGCTGGACTAGTGCTAACAAGTATCCAAGTCATTGTAATTTTATATCGCGCCCAGATTCTATGAATTGCATTTGACTCAACAACGAGTCACGTAATTTGTTGAGTTTGGGGGGATCGTGACGAACTTCTGATTAATTAATCTGGGCTTGGCAACGCTCAAGGTCCGCCATTTGTTCATAATGAGTCAGCTTAAAGCCTTGGCCATGACAGTCATGGCAAGTTACTCTCAAATAGAAACCTGGAGACGACCTTAAAGCATTCTCCTACACCATGGCTGTCTACCTTGGAAAGACATATAGGAAGGTTTAGCGCTGCAGAGCTAGCGGATGCAATAGCAGAGCAAGTCATCATCGCAGTCAGTCGACAGCGAGTTTTGGATTTAGTCATGCAGGTGCGAGGTCCAGGGTAATAAAATCTTTGTAAAATCTCGTGCTTACATCGCTCGGTATGAATATATGATCCGATAAGTTCGTGCCGGTGTTGAACCGAACCATGTAGAACTCTTTTTAAACGTCCCATGCTAAAAAAACCATGGGCCGACTGTCGCATTACATGAGCCTTGGAACGAACATCAAAGATCGATACACCAACCTCGCCCTCTGGGCCCCTCGGGCTTTATTTGTAAACAGCTTTGATGTATGAGGTTGAGTGCCTTGACAGCGTCGCGGCCTTCGATAACACACGATATGTTGATTTCACTAGCGCCTTGGCTGATCATCTCGATATTCACATTACCCTGAGCAAGAGAACTGAACATGCGTCCCGATATACCAACCAGGTTGCGCATATGTTGACCAACAAGGGAGAGAATGGTCATTTCACGGTGAACGGAAACCTGGGACTTGCATTAAACAAGGCGCCAGCGTCATATAGGGTACTCACAGTTCCACTCTTCTTTAGTTCCCCAACTAACCGCTCCATAGTTGCCCTGGACAGATTGTCCTCGATAGCCATGCTGACATGTACTTCACTGGTACTAATAAGGTCTACAACCACGCCAAACCGATCAAGAGTTCCAAATATCCTGGCCAGGAAGCCGTGTGAGACACTCTTTCGATTCGAATTGACGTTGAGTACGACAATACGTTCCTTTATTGTCACGGCGGTCGGTAGTCGCTTGTTCCTACACAATTCGTCGGTCGGAGATAGGTCTTGTACTTCACAAAGACCATCGTCTTGCGATGCCTCGATATCTGGGTCGGGATGGATAACTGTGCCACCACCTGAGGGGTTCTCCACGTTTTTGATTCTTATTGGAATTCTTCGGCGAATGACCTGCAATTTGAGGGATGAGAAAAGTTAAGATTCAATGATGGTCCTTCTGACCTGCTCCATCGTGAATGGATGTACGACTTCACTCCCATAATAAGTCAGTTCAGCGGCTTCATCGGGCGATATGACAGGTATCAAACGTGCTGTGGGCACCTTTCGAGGATCCGCCGTAAATATTCCATCGACTTCCTTCCATATCTGCAGTTCTGATGCTTCGAGGCCGACGGCTAGAAGGGCAGAGAGCAAATCTGTGTATCCTCGGCCGACTTGCCGGAGAAGCGACCCCGGTACGTGGCCAAAGAAGCCGGTGACAACGGGTACGCGAGGTGCGCATCCCTTGATACGTTCCCCGACAGCAGTGGCCACGCTATCATAAAAGGCCTGATCAAGGGAGCCTTCTTTTATGGTGTCGCTATCCTCGGATAGAGGAATGATGTCTTCCAGCGACACGTACTCTGCGTCGATGCCCTGTAGACTGCAGATTAGTCTTATTAAAGAATTCTTGATACTTAGAACCTACTTGGTCGCGGAGAACGGCTGTCATCAGTTTACACCCCAATCGCTCACCGAAACCTATGATGTTATCCCGCGAACGTGGTGATATTTCATTGATAACCTGACACATTGACGTCAGGTTAGACAATGAGCGGTAGAGCAGTCGAATGAACTGAATGCACCTGAGCAGCAAACAAGAAACTACGAAGCCAGTCGCAGTCTCGATCTATCTCAGCCTCGAGTTCTTGGAGAATCTCTGGGTTTTTGACAGATGCTTTTGCAGCATCTATATGCTGTGATCGTATAAGGTCGACGGTAACATTGAATTCCGGTTGAGATTGGCCAGTCTGGGGTGTTATCAATGGTGTCAATGCACCCGTGGATGGAGAGCAAGGCGATGGTGAAGATCTGCGCATCGGGGTGGTGGGGGAAGTTTCTGATGACCTCGTGAATATACCGTTTATCGAGGGAGTTGTGGTACCGGAAGGGCCATTGAAGAACTTGTGTCGTTGCCGCTGTGCCTCGGAGGCAGCTTTGAGTAGGAGATTGGTAGTTCCCAGAGCCTTGGCAGACCCAGATCGTGCAGAGCAGACGATAGCAATTTTGTGCTGGCCAATATGGCTCCTAATGGCGAAGTCAAGGTACCCAAAGTGCAGCATGATGAAAACTTACGATACGATGTCACGAGCAACATTGACTGCAAATTTGCCTACACTAGTACCTCCATACTTCTGGACGATCCATTTTGCTTCCGGATCCGTGTTGTTCTGGCGCAACGCCAACGGATTCGTGGATGGAGAGGGGGAAGGCAGAGTAACCAGATCTAGTTCTGATCCCAACATCACACTCCAGAGATAGTCTGCAGCCACGTGGTGCTAGCACAAGAGCCCGAGACTGAGAGGGAACCCAACAAGCTCAAGGTGTCAAAAAAAGAAATGGCAGACCCTGGTTATATGGATGATTACCAGCGTCATGCAGTCGTGCACATGGAAAACGAATTTGCTGACTCGAATCATCGACTGCAGGGGTGCAAAAAGACCCCTGTCACCCGAGGCTACAAGTGCCGCAAGTCTTTTACATAACTTACTTCCGAGTAGTACTGTATACATCGCCATAGCACCTGTAAGTGAGCCATGAATATGATCTCCGTTGCAATACATATTGAATAGGGTCGCTGATATTGAAATCAGTACTTCAATTCAGTCTGAATCATGCCAATCCTCTTCATTGCCCTCGCGAGGTGACCAACAGGATGCGCTTTTCAAAATCGATTCAATTATATCTCTAGACTTCAGAGAAGGAAGCCAGTCATTCAATATCCCCTGTGCACCAATGTGACGCCTCACATTGTATAAGCCAAGACGCTTTCGCTGCGGCAAGCACCACTCGATACGTGTCAGCCAGGAACCATACATTTACATATGTAGATAATGAAATGGTCAACGATAAGATTTGAGGAAACGACTCGATGGGTATTTCATCGTGCCTGTATTTCCGATCTATATGGGTCGACACAGGTAGCGATAGTAGTCGAGATGCTGTGGGGTCTGCCCACAGGTCTAATCGGTCAGTTCTGGAACGTCGGAACTTTTGCCAAGCTGGGAAAATATTTAAAGGACCACCGGCACTATGCTCGAGAGCAACACGGAGAGGCGCTCAGTCGAGTCGTAGAATCACTGAAAGAATCATCATGAAAGTACTTGATCATGACGCTATGGCTGCAGCGATTGATTGTCGGACTCACATAAACCAATCTGCTGGCCTGGATGCATATCCATACGAGCAAAGGTGCGAGCGTTTTGCGACGACGATTCGAAAGCCAGGTATTGATCACACCATGACGCAGCGATGGATCGCTACGACGCTAACGAAAACGAAGCCAATCAGGTCTTTCGCCCTGAGAACGTGGAGATCCCCTTGGGGCTCGGGCAGCCAAGTTGTCTCGAATTGGAATTTTCGGTCCAGAGCGTGTGGTGAATTTTCACACTAACTGATCACGGCTTTGCACCTGTGTTGGCGGGCTGTGCTGGTGGAGATGAAGAGCGGATAGGGTGTTTAAAGCTGCGGGAGCCATAAGGACGACCATTATCGGATATGCCTTATAAGAGACACAGGATGTTTCATTCGTGTCGAGCGGTAATCCGACCAAAAAGAGAGTCCTCAAACGACGTGCGGTAGGAAAGTTCAGGGGTGACCGCTATGGAAAGAGTGGGAATAATCTAATCGGCTTTACCCACGTCCAGGACCGGAGGTAATCACTTATCGAGTAAAAGTGATTACAGAGCGGACAACGTAAAATTGCCGTTGAGCTTTCATCCTTTGACGTCGTGGCAGTCATACACGACAAGGCGGCCTTGGCGTGATGTGGGTGCCAATGGCAGTATGCCAGGGTTTTGACACGGGGGCCCAAGAGAGCATGGGTTCATGTGTGCCTGAAGTATTTGTCTCGCGTTGAGAGCCAAGCCTATTCCTGGAGGATAAGTTTGAAAACGTCTGCAAAAGCGTCGCACGAACATTGTGTGTTCAGTTGAGCGTTGTGGATGATAACGCTAGTGGAATCAGACTCGGATATGAAAGAGCAGGAAAAGGCATGGCCGTGATGCGTTGATGGTGATGCCGCGATTGAGGGAACCTCAGGCTGTTACTAACCTGAAAGTCGTTCACGTGTAACGCCCAGCTGAGAAACAAGGCACCAATTTCTACCAACTTGGTGCTTGGCTGGGTCCGGTGATTTCTCGATTGGTAGACTATAATAACAATTCAAGAACCCACAGAAGGTACCCATTGCTGGCAAAAAAGAGCATGTCCGGCGTCAACCTTCGCCAAGGGTTATAATTTGCAGTACGTCTTGTGCCTGGCAAATTACTGCATTGTTACCGGACCAAGCTTTGCTCACAGAACTCTCTGTTACTATCTTCCATCACTTGTTTCCTGTGCTTTTTGCACCCTGGCATCCCTCAGTTCGCTATGTCTGGGGCAGTCACAAAATCTCCGCATGACTTCGACCCGCTAGACGAGGCTCTCAGGCCACCAATAAACGAAACTGAAGAGGATCGTGTTATCAGACAAGCTCAGGAAGCCGAGGCACGCAGAGTGAGCCAAGCAATAGACGATTCAATACGAGCAGAGAAACAGGCGCAGAAGAAGAAGGGTATCGTTAGACTCTTATTGTTGGGTCAGAGTGAATCAGGTATGTCCGACGTGGTCGTCATCATTCATGTTCACTTTAATTATTGGACGGTAGGTAAATCGACAACATTAAGACGTGCGTATGAATAACTCCACCAGCCCGACTGAAATTAAATCATTCTCGTCAGACTTCCAAAAACTGTACACTCCCACTGCCTTCCATGAAGAGCGAATACTCTGGCGCAGCGTCATACAACTCAATATCGTGCGGTCTGTTCGTACAATCCTCGACGCCTTGTCAGACATCCGACTTCCTACCCTTGATAGTGGAGGCGAAGACAGCGATGACGGTGGAGCCAACATACCCCAAGAGCTCGAAATGTTACAGATGCGCCTCACTCCACTGCGTCATATTGAGGCACTACTCATTGCGAAGCTAATACCTCCGAGCGAAGATGAGGCAGCTTCTGTGATTGGAAGCAGTGCTATCAGCGCATACCACTCTCACCGCAGCCGAAGTAGTGAACGTTCATGGAGAGCTCAAGAAGTTTTCGTACGCCCTGGAGCCACATGGAAGGGAGCGCTAGCGAAAAGTTCTCGTACTCGACCGGTTTCATTAGGCACTACCGGCATGCAAACCCGGGACGAGGCACAAGAAGTTATCCATTCATGCAGTTATGACATTATGGCTCTCTGGAATGACAGGCTTGTTCGGGAGGTTTTGCGGCGGAGAAAAATTCGTCTCGAAGAATCCTCAGGCTTGTAAGCGTTCGGTCTCATTCTACATTTAGTTCTACTTGGAACATTATGGCCTTATAGCTTCCTCAACGACTTGGATCGAGTCACGGCCCTAAATTACACCCCAAATGATGGTGAAGCACTCTTATGTTCTGGCAACGAAGTGAACTGAGTTCATTGTTGATACAGACGATGTACTTCGAGCACGCCTGAAGACAGTAGGCGTTTCGGAATATCGGTGTGAAATGGAGGCCGTGGCTGGACGTGAAAGTGGTACTGAATGGAGGATAGTTGACGTTGGAGGTTCCCGGTCGCAAGTACGTATCATTTGCTTCTCTCATCCCACGCTCAGCCTTTTCCGACACCTTATCTTTGCAGAGAGGTGAGAAGCTTATTCGTGTTCAGTGTTAGCAGACGCTGAATCCCACCTTCTAGCGACATGGGTACCCTTCTTTGATGATGGTCCGTCCTCAATGTGTTTCATGCGCAGTCTGCTTATACGACTTCTAGTCGATGCAATTATCTTCCTCGCGCCAATATCCAGCTTCGATCAAGTTCTCGCTGAGGATCGCAGCGTGAACCGCCTTGTCAGTCACCTGCCATGCTGTCGTTCTTTTTTGGGCTTACTATCTCTGTGCAGGAGGACAGCGTGCTATTGTGGAAAGCTGTCTGCTCGAACAGACTGCTTGCAAATGTGGATCTTGTTCTATTCTTGAACAAGTGCGACATACTTGATGCGAAACTCACATCAGGTATAAGGTTATCAAAATACGTTCGCAGCTACGGAGACCGTCCTAACGATATGGAGACGGCCTCAAAATGTCAGCAGACTGTTTTTACATGGTTCCGCCACTGATTTTTCTCGCAGACTTCCGAAGCAAGTTTAGCGCAATACATCGGGAATATTCACCGCTCCCACGGAAATTTTATGGTTTTTGCACGACTGTTACAGTATGCTCGTTCATCTCAGTTCTATTCACGGCTCCTGAATTCGGCTTTGTAATGCAGGACACGACTACGACTGCTGGTATTCTTGCCAGTGGTAAGTCCAGCGTGGTTATTCTAATCATGGATACTGATATTATGGTAGTGCGGGATATGGTCGTACGCAGACACCTCAAGCAATCTAGGCTGCTATAGTAGCTCTCATTAGCTCGAGTTTTAATGACCGGGCCTCCAGAAATTGCCTGAAGGAATCACTGCCGCGTCCTCCATCTACGACCTGCCTCTACGCCCAACACGACACCACGCATATTCCATCCCAATACCTAGATTCGTTGCAAGATGGACATCCCCATTTGCTAATGAAATAGTACCGGCATTTACGCCCATTGAGGATTCACGACTTTACATCATCTCTTCGCTCCACGTATCACCCTGCCTGCTCTGGAAGGAGCAGCATCTATTTTTCGCAGCTGTAGCACATAGTTCAGGAGATCGTCATATCTACTCATCTCACACCTCTGTTCGGCGATTTACGTGTTTATCAATTGGTTAGTCCCTTGTTAACTACTGCATTCATGTTCTCTGAATTTTCACGGCTCCTTCGGAGCTGTTCCATATTTACCACGCATTTGACATACCTGTTTACTCCGTTGGGGCGAGCGTGTATATCCCCGTTCTCTACTGTACGACTGTACAACCGATGTGCTACCACTCATACATAACTGTAAAACCTGATCAAACTCTTGAGATTCAGACGCCTCGGTAGTGAATCTGCAGAATCCAAGATCGCGAACAGATCCTGTTCATCCACCAAGATATAATTTTTTGTTCCAGTGTCGCAACACAATGTTGGATATTCGTTCATCCTCTTCAGAGTGATCTTTGGATTTATTTTGCCGGAGGGAGATATGGACTGAATGTGTGGTCAACTCGAAGGTCCCCCTAAGATAACGACTCAATTACATTGAATAGCACGACACACGTTGAGTCCGGACCTTCCGGCACGCACAAGGAGCTTGCCATGATGATCTGTTTTCGCGCGCAAAGTGCCCTTAATGATAATAATGGATCTCGCACATCTGCGGTATCGAAGAACGGGTTCTATTGCAAAGTACCACATAGTATCACGAACGTCGTGCGTTCAGCCTGTTTCTAGCGACAACACCGTACGTGCGGCCGGACCGTGGTGAAACTCTGAATATTAATCATATTCATTCAAGTTATACTCCTCAGGCACTGTAGCGTATCTTTATCGGAACTTTTATTTATCCAGTCAAATACATATGGAATCTTCTGTCCGTCCTTCCCTTCCCAGTTTTTAAACCACAGCAATGATCGGGGGTCGTGGATTCACATGTATAGGAGAGCGCATGACTGCTGAGCCAGCTTTCGTCTTCCCCATTCGGAGCAGTTTGGCTCTTTTGCTTGGTGCAGAAGATACGATGTTGCCCGATGCATTCGAAATCATCGTCCGCCGACTAAGTTGTTCGTTGTTCAACAGCATACAGTCATAGACTCGAAGTAAGCTATGGTCAATACCTTGAACCTTTGATTAGTGGAAAGACTCGTACTGATTTTGTGGGGAGATGGTAGCACCCTCAGAATGTCAAGGGTTCTATAATTATCTTCGTGTGTTCACAAGATAAACGGCAGAAATGGCGGACTAGTGAGTGCAGCGATCGATGAACCCCGACTTCGTAAAAGTGCTAATATACAATGTTTTTCTTGGAGGTACTTTCAGATTAAACAACCGCATCTATGAGGATCATCTTCTATACAGGAGAGCACTCTCTTTCTAGCCACTGAAGAGCGCGCGAGTCGTTACAGAGCCAAGGTCCTACCTTCTCCAGCGTTTCTGCATGATACGAGTTAAGCCACTCCTTTTCCTGCGCGGTCAGAATCGAGAAATCGATCAGCTTCGTTTGGATAGGACACTATTTCAGCGTTAGATTATGGAAATGCGATTCCTCTCATTCGAAGGGCGCTCACCATCGTTACGCGTTCAAAACAAAGGTACCCATTCCCAAAATTATTTGGTGTATCAGCCTCCTGAACGATAACAACGTTTTCGATGCGGATCCCGTAGCGTCCGTCGGCATAGTAGCCCGGCTCTGGCGCGAATGTTGGCTCGTTTCTTGCATTACTCAATCCACTCACCATTCGAAACAGTCATGCCCGCTTTCAAGGAGGTGCTGTTGTACGCTGGAGGTGTGGGTGAGTAGGAACTAAAAAGTGCAGTACAAAGCAAACCTATGCGGGTGCCAATGCCATGTGGACCTTCGCAGCACGTCAACATACTCTACTATCTAAAAGGAGCCTGACTTACCTTCATGAACGTTCAAGAAGTGACCAACGCCATGGCCAGTCCCATGTCTATATCCGGGCGTCATGAAAGTGTAACGACTTTGAGCGACGAGGAATTACCTGTAATCTGTAAATGCGATAAGAACATTGTAACAAGGCCCAACAACAAATCGCTTACCCCATCCCTCTTGCCATAGAGCTCGTCTTGCAAATGAGTCACTGAGTTGAAATCAACATGAACAATTTGGTCTGATGGTGTCAGAAGCAAGTCATTCACATAATGTAACCTAAACGACATATCATCAGGCTGAACCAGAGGGAAATGGGAAAACGGACGCACCTGATGTGCCATTCGGGAAAACAGCAGTGTCGATTGAGATATGACCCTGCAAAACACGCGTGAAAGCTCGTTTCTCCTCATTAGTAGGGGTGCCAAAATGCTATGAGAAAATCTTGAGATAAAACTCTTCTCATTACCACCGGCAAATTGACTCACCAATGTCCGAGTCACATCAGTCGTTCCGTCAAGATATTGTCCTGATGATGGTCTCATGAAAGATGCATCATCGTGAAAAGAAGGACCTACCTCCAGAATCACATAAATATATCTAATATTCTGTGTAAGCATGGTTCACATCGATTTGAACAGCATACCTGATCCTTCCGGATTATCGCGCAGTCATCCGGGTCCGGTGAATAATGTATCACAGCTGTGCGATTATCAGTATGTGTTTTGTATCACCTGAGTTTGCGCACCAGCATTAGGTCCAGTAGACGAGATCGTCGTGAACGACAGTCCACGGAACAAGTCCAGCTCACTACTAAGGGGTGAGCTATAGCAATATGAAACAACTTCCACACTGACGATCTGAATTCTTCAAGCTTATCTGCGGCTTGGCTTTCGTTCAGCTCAACGCCGCTATTAAGTTGCTCCTCCAACCAGGCGAAGTAACGGATCAGGGCAGCACCATCGCGAATGTGACATTTTCGGAAGCCCTCGATCTCCGTTTCATTCTTTATCGCTTTCATAGTAGCCACTGGTGACGGGATGAGAATGGCATTATCCTGTATCAGGGACACACTTAGTGATGATCTTGGACTATCACGAGGTACGTACTTGTCCAATTGCTTCAACCACAGCTAGACTAGTTTTATCACCCAGTAGCATGGGCTAAAGCGGACAAAGATAAGGATTGGTGTTACACATGCATTCAATGACTCACTTTGTCTTTATTAGCTCCAAGGGTGGTAGTGAGCTGCCTCAAAGAAGAGATGAAAGATCCATATGGACGGATCTCAACATCAGAACCTAGGAACGCCTTGATACTGTCCTGCTCCTGAGCGTCATTCATAAAAAGTATCGCCCTTGTTGGGGTCACAACAGCATACGCGAAAAAGACTAGAGAATGTTCCTTGAGCTTAATCAGCATGACAGTGGTCTGCAATTACCAGGGTTAAAATCAATATCTGTGCCACGAAGGTTAAAAAGCCACGCGACTTCATCAAGAAGCGTGACAACCGAGGCAGCAGCTTTCTTCTTCGCGATCTCCTCTCGTAAACGCTCAAGTTTGCTCTGAGATGTCTCCCCTGCTCAAAACGTCAGTCTTACTCCATGCACCGTCATCGCCATGCTGACCGGCGTATTTGACGTCCAGAGGGAAAACACTATTGTGAGGATGCGGGGGTCGGTCCTTGCCCCATACGATATCGACAGGGTTTTCCTGGAGAGATACAAGCTCGGATCCCCTAGGTTCAAGAGATTTCTGGAGACTTTCAGCATCCACTGCTATTGGTAAGCTCGATAAGGAGAAGTAGCAGTAACGCCCATACCAGCTGAAATCAACGTGGGATCGATGCCAATCCGGGTCCCTTGCTCAAGGTGCTGTCATAGTATTCGATCAGCATAGGGTCCCAGAAAGACAGGAAGGATTGACTTTGGAGAGAAATTCCTGCCATGTGGGCACATCTTCCTCTCAAATAAGTCACAAGACAGGAACATGACGAACGAAGTACTATACCTGGCAAACCCTGTTTCATAAGTTTCCAGTTGCTGATGACATCTCTTGTGAGGAAGAATAGAAACAAACAATCTAGACAGTACCTGTCGAGCTGCTGGGAAGCTTGCAAGAAGTATCTCCCATCCGTGAAGAGGAAAGCATCCCTGAGGGTGATGATAGCACATCCTACACAACTCTCATATCAGACATGATCGATCTGAGATGATGGTATCTTCTCACCGGCTGAACCATTAAAACCTGAAATGAATGCCCTGCGCTCATCCGAATGTGCAGGATACTCGCTGAAGTCTTCAGAACAAGGAAGGTTCAGCAATACTTCTGCTGGACATCTTGTGCATGCCTACGCTGGTCTTCGCTAGGAACAATGAAAGCTTTGACGTTATTCTCTGGCTTCTTCAATAGCTCTCGTAGCTTCGCTAGCCGCTCGGTAGTGTTGACAGTGCGAGTCTTGATTGCGGCCATGGTCGTCGTTGCACCGGAGGAGAATCGGACAGTATGAGTGAATGCAGGGGTCAGGAGATATCGATGACTATGCGCACGCAAGGCCTCAAGACTACATCGAGACCACATGTGTTCTATAAGACCTGAACCAGGAACTTGTTCTCACCTCTCAGTGGACTGATGTCACGGTGGGCCATTACCTATTCAGTGTTCGGTTCACTTAAGCACTTCACAAATTTTTGAGTAAGTTAGGCAAGAAATCGATATCTATTATAGTAGTCCGTTAAGAGGGTATCACTATGTTAGTTTCATGAGGGTCGAGGAGAGTTCCGTGCACTGCCCTGCAGCGCAGGGGAATTGCTATGACTTCGAGAGACACTCGGTCGTATCCGATGCTCTGAATGCAATCGAGTCCGTTCATCTACATCACTATCATACTCGTACTCTTCTTCGCTCTCCCGCAACTGAGATAACGGCATGTTATCAACTGTCTCCTCCTCCTCAAAGGCGTTGAATAATGCGGTGCTCTGTGCGCGATAGAGTGATGAACGACGGCCGTGGTGAGAGGACTGCAGGGCGCCGTCTGGTTGTACTTCAGATAAACCACTCCACCCGTCAAGAGACATGCGACCTTGGAGGCTGATGCGGGGATTCATGAGACCGCTTTCTAAGGCAGAGTGACCGTTGGGCATGTTTGGGGGATCAGATTTCCGTGAAAGATTCAAGAGGTGAACGCCGAGGAAAGTGACAATGAACCCAGCGAGAAGCGTAACGGTATTTGTGCCGTCAGTTGTATTAAATCCTTGGAACAGGATAAGGGATGCCACTATTGTCGCCGTAGAAAATCCAACGTAGTACATGGGATTTACACTGTGGAACGGTCAACATTCCATTGAAAAGGTATGCGGATGGACGTACACATTTGTAGAGAATGTGTCCAATGCTTTATTGAAGAAGTTCATCTGCACAACAATGCACCCAATGACGACTAAGCCGAACGCGTATGTGCTTGGATGAGTGAACTGGTTGTTTCCACCAAATGTGAGCTTGACAGCTACACCAAAACCCTTGATGGCCATGATGGACACGGAACCAACCAAGGAGCATATAGATATGTAAACAAGAGGATTAGAGCGCCCGTAACGTGGGGCAACACCGTATATCATGACGAGCGAGAATACGAGAACCGTGAAACAATACAGCATGAATCCTATAAACCGGTCAATGTTACATTAATAAGAGAATATTGTGACCAACCGGGCTGTATAGCATATTGTAAAATCTCGTCCACGGTCTGAACCTCTTTGTCTGGTGGTGCATGGAGAACAATGATCAAAGAACCAATAAGGCATAGGGCACATCCCGTCCGCCCTAGATGCCCGAGCTCCTCATTCAGCAGGAAGGACGCAAGTATGGCACTGCACAACATCAGTCGATAGAATTGTAACACCGAATAGCATGCTCACCCGATCAACACGCTAAGTGCGCCTAATGGCGTAACCAATATTGGGGGAGCGAAAGTGTAAGCAGCGAAGTTTGCGACTACGGACTTCATTATTAGATGGACAAAGGGGTAAGAAATGAGTATCACTTTCTCCAAGCACCACTGTACAATCGTTGAGATGAACTGATATTTCGACGGCTCGATTGGTGAGACTCACAAGTTGAAATACCAGCCCACCATATTGGATTCCGGAGGTAAGCATAGTCATCGGAGGCAGATGTATTTCGTGCTCCTGCATCAGTAAGTCCCTGCATCCAAGACCACTCAGTTTCCGGGGAATTCAACCAAGCTCAATATGTAGAACCTTCTTCGTAATGATGAAACTTGTTCCGATAGCTAATGAGCTGGAGACTGCCAGAGCCAATCCGATGTATTTGTCCTCGACCATAATGTGACAGAAAACGTGGACCGTGAAAAGAACAGAGAGGAGGCACGGTCCTACCTAGATGTAGGAAAAAAGAGTCGAGGAATTTGAAGTCAAGTCCACGACGACCTGCTTGTATATACCCAATTTAGATAAATGTCTAACACTACCCGGCGTCGGCGTGAGACAGTAGTAAAATTCAAGTACACCAAGAAACTAGTACGTATTACAAATATTAAACATAACGATCACAGTAAAAATCCTACTCTAGCTCCCTCCATGGCTTGTCAAAGTTTGCATCACCGTTGTCATCATGATCCTCACTGGCCGCGCCAGTCTGCAGACTCTCCGACACTACGTCCTCAATCCTTCGAGCGAGAAGATTCATATCCGTCATTGCAGCCGCTCGAATATGCTGATCGTATTCGCCACTCTCATCCACTGTTTCTGTCGTGTCCCATGTCGGTCCAGGACCGGCCCACCCACCGTTCAAGTGCACATAATTCAGGAACGACCGCCAGAGGGGATCCAAGGACAAGACGTTTGGGTCTCCGATCACAATCAGCAGAGCTTGTGCTCGAGTCACAGCAACTGAGAGGAGCGACATGAGTATTATGTTAACCCAAAACACCGATCCACTAACCATTGAAGCGCCTCGGGTTCGCAACGAAGCCAAGGGTGTGTTTGAGATCGAACTCAACGAAACTTCGACTACTCCTAACCGTCGATATAATAATGACTCGTCGCTCCTAGTAATTATAATGGGCCACAGAGCGACGCACACTTTGGGATTTGCTCACCTGGCCTTGGAACTCTTCTACACTGCCGACTTTGACCTCATCAGCCACGCCACTAAGTACCTTGCGAACTCTGACACATTGAGCGTGATAGGGAGCGATCACGCCAATCTCATTGTGAGCTATCGTATCGTTGTAAATCGTGAACGACACTACGCGTGTGGATTCGCTTACCCACTCTGATCTGTCGATCGTCTCGGAGGAGTTGAATGTACTTGCGAACTTGAGTAGCTTCATCAATATTGAAAAACGAGGGTGATGAAGCCTCGCGATCATCCTTCCCAGATATGGAGTGGAAGATAATCGGGAATTTCTTTGAAGGCAGCTTTTTCCAGCCCTCGAAAGCGCGTATGATGTTCTTGTTGCTACAGGACTCAAGATCATTCGCGTAGAATCGTTCATTGGGAAACTTCAAAATCGCGGGATGCGACCGGAAGTTCTTCACAAGCTTGACAACGCTGCTGATAAATTAGTAACCTGAACGAAATTCACGAGCTATGATCACCTCAAGCCATGGCCACTTTGAGCTTCGTATGCATTCATCGACATGAGACGTTCGAGGTAGCTTTTCTCCAACCCAAGCTGCCTTGCAATGTCAGATCGGATGATAGGTCCTAACTGCTTTGGATCTCCTGCCAAGACTATGTTCGACACATTGTCGGACATCGTTTTGATGCCGATCATCACTTCAGGTTCAGTCGCTTGACCAGCTTCGTCCACGAAAATATGCGTGAAATGTCCGCGAGGGATGCCAATACCGTATGGGATAGATCCGGAGACGCATGTGCACACGATAGCTTTGAAGCGCTTAAGGGTCGGAATGGGCGGGACAGAGAAACAGCTCTTGTTCTCGCCTTCCAGTCTCTTTTTGTATGTGTAGGGCAGCAACTCATCTGGAACTTGGTCGAGGGGCCTTGAGGGTGCGTAAAGTCTGAAAAGTTCGTCGGGTCCGAGGGTGGATGCCAGCCGAGATGCAATGATATCAGCAGCAGAGTTGCTGGGTGCGGTAGCAAGAATCCGTGTATTTGGCTTATGCTTGAGCAGTTGTTTCATGGCTTCCACTATCGTTATAGTCTTCCCAGTGCCCGGGGGACCAAAAACGACAAATGGTGCTGAACCCGGTTGCTGCAGAAGGATAGACGTGACAGCTTGAAGCTGAGGCGGGTTTGTAGCAATCAACGGATTAAATGGCCTAATAGGACCTATGCCAGGACGAGAGGCAAGCGGCAAAATATGCGCCTTCTGAGGGAACAGAAACTTATCAGATGCAAATGCGGTGTCGAGCGCCTGGTGTTGACGGCACATAGGAATGCGGTTGAGCTTGAATCTTACGGTATACCGCTGTTGCTGAGACCAGCCACGAAATGACTTGTCGAATCGTAACCCGACGGACAATTGTCGAACAAAATGGACATGGCCTTCATACCAATGACCTTCGACAGCCCCATGTTTTTGGACAAGAACACGATCCCCTGAAAGCACGGTGAATGATGGCAAGAAAAGATAAGTGGTCAACCAGACCAATCAAAACACTTGGGCGTTTTTCTGCCAACCCAGGAACAGTCAAACTACAACACAATGAGCTCAAACACTTGCTAAATACCAATGTGCTCACTGATAATACAGTCCGTGACATTCTAGCTGAGCATCAAGAATATCATAGCGTTCTAAATCACGCCTTGAAAACTCGTCAAAATGGAGCAGAATCAATCTACAACACTACTCACTCCATGCGGTACTCTTCTATCCAAAGCAGTGTCTTAAAGTAGCGCGAATACGTTGAAGAATCGATGACCTTCGGAAGGAAGACTCTTCTGACGTGGTTCAGCGCCTTCCCAGATGACGTTTCCGACAATGCAGCTAAAAGTGACGCCGATGGCTTTGCCTTAGGCAATTTGATAGTATACGGGATAATTTTATTGGAAGGTGGAGGGACACCCGGCACTACCTGTGTCTCAGGCTGCGCACGAGTTTGACGGCGAGGTTGAAAGGGAGCAATTGGTTTCAATAACTCATAATCGGCTTGGCTGCCCACAATGGCTTTCAGCGGCCTGGCGATGACAAAGGTTACACGCAGTGCTGTGTCTTCGAAGAGAATTTCGAGACGATCATCCATGCGCCCAGAGTGAGGTGTTGAAAACCGTACACCAATTGCAGTAGGACGACGATATGCCAATATTGCCCCTTCCACAGTGGTCGTAACAGCAAACCTACCAACGAAATCATTAGCTTCGATGATCGTTTAACGAATGAGGAAGAGGGCTCACGGAGATTGCCCGGCCACGAACGAGGAGGACAAAGATACCTTCTTAATGGTAACTCGCGATGAGGGCACTGTGGACTCTATTGTCAAAGTTCGCAATGCCCCCCGCGCAGCATCAGCATTTTCCATAATCCCAAAATCTAGTCCTTCCGAAAGAATGACGCCATGTTTATCCTTCTCAGCTTCCTCGAGGGCAGTTTTGAACGCAGTGTAACCCTCCTTCCTGCGATGTTCGAGAGATCGAGGATGAGAAGGCCACAAGCCTTCCGAGATCTGTTTGTCACAGATACCACAGAATACCTTGCCAGGGAACGCCTCAGGAATAGCAGGAGCTACCTCAGGTAAGACACCTTGGTTCTCCGCGTTTCTGTGGTGTCGTTTTCCTCCGAGATGTTGAACCCAAGACTTGTGACCGGAAACGTGAGTGCCACAGATAGTGCATTGGTATTGGCTTCCATCATGGCCAGCCAATTTACGGCGATGCTTTTTGCTGGCTAGATGCGCTTCGTACCACGTAGTGGACGCGCAGAAGATGCCACATAGCTCGCAGAGGTGGACGTCGTGATACCCTGTGCACAGGGGATCGGTGCAAGCTCCATGGGCTTCCAACTGTGGGCAAATTATGACCATAGCAAATAAGCGACAGGTCCCAGGAGGGGACTCCAAAGGCACTTATTCCTCGACCGCTGGTCAGCTTTCTCGTTTCCACTCGTATCGGAGCAACGTGTCTAACACGAGGCCAGGTTACGGTAGTACAAATTAAGGATGCTTCGATTCTTTGTACCTCCAGATTAAGACTTACTCCAGGCAACTGGAAGCTTAGATCAACAACAGAGACGCTGAGAGAACAAGGTCAAGGCCGGGGAAGGGTTTAGAACAGAGTCGGAATGATATTGAGCCTAATAGGATTGCGATGGGTCAGAACCAGGTAAAGAAAGAAAGTTTCTCTCTTAAATATTGCAAGCAAACGTGTAACCAAGCGCGTCACAGCCAAAACATTTAGATACGACCAGTTGGAGGTGACACGTGTGATATGATTGCGAGGAGTTTCGAAGACGATAACCCTCATGAAAACATTGAAAAGGCAACACTACAATATTCAACCGAGACATTATATAAGCCAAAATCACTTGCCCCGCATCCTCTCGCTGCGAAACCAAAGTGCATACGTTGTGTCGAAACCCTCTCTGTGCATTTTAATACTATATGCCTCTTCAAACGTCAAAGCATCGTAAAAATGGTCAACCCATCATCAATGATCAATCTCTTAGACTGCCACGACCACTGACATCGGCGCTGAGAAATGTCCTATCTTTTTGAGAGTTGAAAGCTATAACAGTGACTACAGCCTTTGCATTGTTCAACTGACATGATCAATATCTAGTGTTCTCTAATCGACTGTACTCCAAGTCATAATCAAATTCACAAATGGAGGCTGTTCCGGCTTTTATTCGGTCGCATCACTGATATATTGAACCTTGACACCTCATACTAGTACAACCACCATCGATCAAGCTCAAGGCCTGTAACAATGCTGCCCTTCAAGTTGCCAGACGATCTACATCTTACCACACCTAGGGCACCACTCACAACCGAGACCTTCGTTTCTGTCATCCTTCCACCAGTCGTATGTTACTTCGCCACAGCTTTTCTTGTCCTGCTGCCCCGAACGCAACCAGTTCGCATTGTGTTATGGCCCATCACGGCGATCTTCGCATTTCGCTCTGCGACATCGATAGATATGTGCATGGGGCAACCGAAACTTGCCTATCTGAATATCGACCTGCAAGTGAGTTCCTGTCGTATCCGCATTAACTGCGCAGCGTTAAACTTGTCTTTCAGTTGTCCATGGTTTGTATTGCAGCACGCACCTTTGAATGGACGGTACAGGCAAAACCCTTCACTCGTGTGGTTCGCCGATCGTCAACCGATGTACCAAAGCGAAATTTTGTGCTCGACGCACTTGATTTGGCATGCAGCCTTCGAGGTTATGGCTGGGATTGGTCGCAGGGACTGTACGTCCCGCCTGAGACACATCCTACATCCTCACGATTGGCCTTTGTTACGTCGCTCCTAGCCTCTAGTCTAAAGCACTCGTTTATTTGTGGCGCAATTCACTCTGCTGTGCAATCTTTCTCTCCAGATACATTTGGATCTGTTAACGGTGGTTCCATTTTCGACGACTCACTTCCCCCGCACCTCCGTTATCTACGATCAAGCATCATAGCAACGCTTTGCGCATTCGGCATCTATTCAATACTCCAAGCCGCTCACGAGCTCACCGTAGCTTTGTGCGTACTGCTATTGAGGCAACATCCAGACCAATGCCCCCCCTCATTCGACTCTCCCTGGCGCTCCACCTCTCTCAGAGAATTCTGGAGCCGACGATGGCACCAGTGGTTCCGTCGGATATTCATTTTCTTCGGGGGAAACCCACTTTCTCTGCTCTTTGGGCGCGTCGGAGGCGTCATAGGCACGTTCCTCGTCTCTGGGTTTTTCCACCACCTCGCACTACTCGCCATCGACCCGTCCTCAGAGATGTGGCGCATGCTGCTGTCATTTGGAATGATGGGCACTGGGGTGGTGATCGAGCGTGTTGTTGCGGGGAATAAGACAGGTGGTTGGATGGGATGGATGTGGACGATGTGCTGGCTGATGTTGTGGGGGAATGTGATGGTGGATGGGTGGGCAAGAGCTGGGATGCTTGGGGGTTCGAGCGTTTTGGATAGTGCAACGCCTGTGAGACAACCGATTGAGCGGCTGGTGAGGTTGTTTGACGAGTATCTGCACGCATCTCAGCAGAAAACCTCTGGCAAAACGTTGCAGTAGGTCGACCGAAATACATAGTCGGTCCTGCGCGAATTGTCTAACAATCATCTGTATGCTCCTGCACGCTCTCCGTCGAATGTAAGTTGCATAACGCAACTCGAACATTGACATCATGATGGGCTCGAGGCCAAGGAAGTCAAAGGAAGTCAGCGCAGGGATCTGCTCGAGGAGCTCTTGGTGGAATGATGAATCTTGAAGTACCTCAAGCATAGTTGCATCTGTTACGCTGTCAAGACAGGCGCCGCGTCTCTGGGGCGTCATACCGCTGCATCGCGGTAGTGTGCAGTGGAAGACCATGTGTCAGTTCGGGCCCCACTTAGGCCTATCAGATGTACGCTTCATAAAATACAAGGAGGACTCCATCGCGGCCAGCTGTATGATTAGTAACGGCAATTAGCCAGTTGCAAACTGATAAAGAGTCGGTGTGGTTTTGCAGCTGCGCAGCCTGCGCTTTTATCTCTGTTGCATTTTGCGCGAGCAGTGCAGAAACAGCCGCGAGAAGACCAGGAAAGTTGAAGTCCTTAGTACACACCTCTGCAGCTTAGAGCATGACACCCACAATCCCACACAATCCCTCCCAAGTCCACTGCTTGACCACGCCCAACACAATCAACCTCCAAGTGAAATGTCGAGGCTCGTTCTAAATTCCAATCGAGTTCGAAGGCATGTAAGGGCAGTTGAGTTTTCCTGATAAACAAGGGATTATCACCAACTTAGGGCCATCCCAGCAGTAAGGTAGTAAAGGGGTCTAGCAGACTTTTTTTGGCTTGCCCGACCGTTTCTGATTCTAAATAAAAACCGTTTGCGCCTGTTGTTTTGCCAAAGAAAGAAGGCGACTCCCAGGGTGGTCAGCGAGTTTGTCTGGAAGTTGTGAGGGGCAAAGTTATGATTAATGAGAAATTTTGCAACTCTCTGCTGTTTGCGTCGGCATCTCTCTGGCAACATCATTTGAACACATTTTGTTCTTTTGTAAACTGGAGCTCTGCCGTGACACACATAGCTACATGTTCGCATAATCATTTTGTCTTAGTGTGTAGCAAAAAAACGAGATATGAAAATGTAGTGGTCAAATTTTGCAACTCTGGCCCAACGATAGTACAGTTGCGATTCGCGCTGTCGTCGGTGACCTGGTGGCAGTCAATCGGTGGCGACTTTGATTACATCCAGTTTTGGTACATCATTGTAGACTTTTTGAACGCCCCCCCGGTTGAGTAGCACACTTTCTAATTTATCCATGAGTTCACTGATGAGACTGAGATCGTACCTGTTCTTCTAGCTCACTTCGTCCCGCGCTCGTATTCTCACCAGAGCAAAAACCAACGATCCGTTAGCACATATAGTTGTATCAAGACGACACCGTGGTTGGATGACCAGCTAATGGCACGCAATCATCGATTATCAATCGACTCCAACCGCATGCTGCTTCCGAGTCTCATAATTTCATCAAGCAACATAGATGGGAAAAAGAACCATATAAATATCAAGCGTAATACATTCATGAGAACAATTTGTTGACCGACGTATTACCCTCTTGGTTCTTTTTGAGCACCTTCGCAATAGCGAACTCAAAATCTTCCTGAGTAACATGCTGTCGCCGCTCCCGCAGCGCGTACATACCTGCTTCCTTGATCAATAAACGCGAATACAAGGACCATCAACGGACGCACCTGCTTCTGTACATATACCGCGCACTTCGGCGCCTGAGCACTGGCCCATTTTCTCGGCGAGTGCTTTGAGGTCGATACCGCGTTGGAGTGACATCTAAGAATAACCATGCTCTAAGAATGCCTGCAAGATACAGGACTCAGACGATTTTATTCACCTTGCGAGAGTGAATTTTAAGAATGCTGACGCGAGCTTCAGGACCAGGGGGAGGGAATTCGATCTTTCGGTCAATACGTCCCGGACGAAGAAGCGCAGAATCCAATATGTCTACGGCGGCGCCTTCAGAAAGTCACTGGTGCCTGATGAGGACCCACAAACCTATACGATTCGTAGCCATGATAACCTTGATATTCTTTGTGGCCTCGAAACCATCTAATTGATTGAGAAGCTCCAGCATCGTCCGCTGTACTTCCGAATCGCCACCTCCTGAACCACTGTCTCCTCGCGAACTGCCGATAGAATCGATCTCATCCATAAATATGATACTAGGTGCATGCTCCCTGGCCATGACGAACAGCTCCCGAACCATTCTGCTTCCTTCACCAATGTACTTCTGAACAAGTTCAGAGCCTGAAACACGAATGAATTTGCAGTCGGTGTGGTGTGCGACGGCACGAGCGAGTAGGGTCTTTCCTGTTCCAGGAGGACCATAAAGAAGAACACCCTTTGGCTGTGCAATACCCAGAGATTCGAAGAGCTCGGGATGTTTGACGGGCAACTCGATGACTTCCTTGATTTCTTTGATTTGCTTATCCAGACCTCCCACCATTTCGTACGTGCTATCCGGGACTTTCTCCACCATCATGAGGGAGACAAGTGGATCGACTTTGTTCGGTAATATCTTGTGGATGGTATAAGAGTCAGAACGGAGAGCCACGCGCAATGAAGCGGAAAGTTGGGACAGTTCGATTGATGGATCGAAGTCAACTACTGCATAGTGCGTGAGCGAATACAGAATAAAGCATTATTCAAGACCCAGCACATACTGTATTTGCCTTCAGGTTGCACCTTGACAAGGACTTTCTTCTTCCCCATAACCTTCACGATCTCTCCAACGTAACTGCCAGGTTCGTGTAAAAGCTGAAGTTCCTCTCGTAGTAGACGCACTGTGTTTCTGTCCTATGAATGCATCCGTTGGAATCAATGCAATCCAAACACACCTCGTGCATTCAGTGCATTCCGTTGAGCCTCTAATCGGCGCAGGTTCTGTGTTTTCTGGTTGATCAAAAGTTCAGCGGCCTCAATCTTTGCCTGGTAGTACGATTGGATGCCTCCAGGGGTCTTAGCTTTCTGAACGGCGGTAGGCATTTTGAAGGAGAATGACAAGAATCTCTAGCGAACGTATTACGCGTCTTGCGCGACACAGTCACGTCACAATGATATAGTCACGCTCTGAATTTCTCACGTTGGGTTGTTTTCTTCCGTGCACTCTCCATGTTGCATGGCATCATGCATCATGACCCGGCAATATTAATCAGGAATAATGATGAGAGGAAAGCAGACCCTGTGTTTCCTATGTGATCAATTACCGCTCAAAAGCCATGAATGGTTTGGATTGTTTTTGCTTCGCACCCCTTCTGTCAAGACGTCAACAGTACTCCAACATTCAGTTATTATCCCCTTTAATAATAATATCCTCACTTTTCTGATAGAACGAGAAGATCGGGTCTGGTCGGGTTCATCCCTTCTCCGTTACAGGCTGGCACTGATTACATTGATTCCACTCGGCTGATTGCGTGAGAGATAGGTGATACTGACAAAGTTCCAGATTGAACGTTCTTCGGCTTGGACAGACCTTCAACGGTGAAACCCGATTACCTGCTCCCTTGGTGATCCATACTGTCGAAGGCCCCCATATCTCCGCGATTTTGCGCATCACTATTGACTTCGTGGCAGATGGGTGTGTTGGGCTATTGGCCCATGTCAGTGCGCACTCTTCCGGAGATCGTCTACATGATAACGTGAGAAGCTAACAGCATTGGCAGGCAGAGTGATCCATTGCTTCGCTGTGATCCCAGACTTCAGCAACCACCGACAAGTAGAAATTCAAATGTCGGGGTGCGCAGGACCGCTGGACGAACCTTGGAAGCGCAGAGCCTATACATTTCTAACTTCTTGGTATCTATACCGTGCCCCGAGGAATTCATATGCATTCCCTACCCTGAAATAACACCATTTCATGACTATATCGATCAAGACACGCTGCTGTCACCAGCGGAAACTCCCCTTACTTGCCGATAGCCACCGTACCACAATCATGGGCGTATGTCGTATGTATGATTCATAGTATGATATCATGTACGAACCAGTCTTACGGAAGCCAGAGGCACTGACAATTGTGCAGCCGTGATATACTTCCCCAGAACAGAATGGACTCAGCGGCATAGCCGCGTGGAATTGCGCATCTGCAATTCCAAAGATATATTACAAAATGCTACGCTTCTGAGTGGAAAGCCCCTACCCCTTTGGACCCATTTCGCAATCAGTATTAGTCTGATAGGCACCCACCCTGCCTCATGGCCCTCGGCGCTTTCACAAACCATATTTTCTTTTCAGCGCTGCCCAAGATAGGGCCGCAGTGCGATGGGCAGTTACGAAGTGGTTCATATCTTGCTCAGGAACGCGATTGATATCCAAGCGATTCCAGTAGCGGCATAATGTGTAAATGATGTCTTGAGCATCACGGTCTGAGCCGCGTCTGTGGAGAATGAGTTGATCTACCAGACTGTGGGATATTAGTTACTTACATTGTCCAAGTCTTTAGCTTTGCCCGAACAAACTCTGACAGGGTCAAGAAGGGGATGCCTTGTAATTGCATGATAGTGGAACCATCCAGTCGTCGGGGTCCATACTCGCCTGCGGGCAGGATCTCAATCTGCAAAGCCGCAGTCATTAATTCATTTGTCAAAAATGCGTTCAAGGAGATGCTCACCTCGATGGCTGGGATGACCTGACGATACGTAGCATGCAAGCTAGGCAGACTCGGTTACAAGAAGAAAGACCATACTAGTAGGAGACTCCTCTACCGGTTGCTCCACGGAGAGTGCGTGGTCGTGAAGTGCTCACTCCCTACAATGGCTTGTCTGACTCGACGGAACGGATGGGTGGAACCGCCTTCAACGATACAGAATATTTCCTGGAAGTATGTCAGTACCAGGGTGGGTGGGCAGTAAAGACATAGTAGTCTACGCACATCGCAACGTGGATTATCAGAGAGCACGGCAGTGAGAATGCTTCCATAGAAGGCGTGGGCAATGGAGTGTTGATGTAGAAGTTGAGAAAGCGCGTTTGCAGCTTCCAAAAGTCTGCGGGAATCAGACATGATGGTGTGGGGTATGGAGGGGTGGGGGTGGGGGTGGAATGAGGTACCAGAGGAAGATCATGGCATAAAATAAAGAGAAGAAAAGAGAGGTGAGGCAAAGCAAACCGAATGGGTATGTAATAGATCCGTGACCAAAGAGATATCCTGAAAAAAGAACTTCAACAGATGGCGGCCTGATCTTCATCTGATTTGTGCTGCCTCATCTCTCAAGGAAAGTATTACTGATTGTGGGTCTATCCGATCTGCTCAGAATGGCGAGAGAACATGCCGAGAATAAGTGTGAATGAATACTCGGAGTCCACTGGTTGGGTCTAAAATCACCTGAAGTAGACTGAAAACGTAAAAGCCTAGAGACGTCCAGTGGACGTGATAAATCGGCTAATTTTTAAAAAGAGCTGATAAACTGATTAGAATTCGGAAAATGTTTGCACTTGCCGGATTAATGCGAAGCTGCTGGCGCTAACTCCATTGTGAAATATCCGCGGAACATGTACCGACCTGGGGGGAAGAATGCGGGGTCAAATATTGGGGTCAGATGGGGGGAGGACCAGGGGCCCCGGACCTGACTACTGAGCACAGCTTATTGTCACACCAAGTGTGACGAAATAAGGTTGAGGAATTTCAAATTAGTATTAAAAGTATGTAAATATCTATTTGGTTATCGTACGAATTAGTAATTCTACCGGTTTTGTCCGAACCATGTGGAGACTTTGACACAAATCTGCACTTGTCCTCCATTTGCGTGTGTGAATGTATACAGCTCTCAGGCGCGTGCATACCAGCCATGTAATGGGATTGAGCCGAACATATTCTGCTCCACAGCTCATTCCTCAATGTAGACGATTTAAAAGTCACTCGCTCTCGACCTCTCCTCCACCTCAGCAACAGTCAATTCCTCCCAATGCCTTACTCGTACTATCCGTCAGACATTTTCGTTTAGCATCATGGAAGAATTTCTTTCGGCCGAAAGATCATGAATCGTCTGGAATGTCTGACACTCAGGAGGAAATAGCTAAAGCTGCTATCCTTGAGAAAGTCATGAAAGGCAGGCAACTTACAGATCTCATGTTACGCTGTACGTTCAATTATCTTTTTTCGTTTCTCTTTCTTGCAAGCTTACGGAGGCATAGGTACTATTTTGGATCATGCGGGTACCTTGTCATTTTCTTAGCCAATCCTCTCGTCGCATGACCACACCTGTCACTTTAGGCCATATCAAGAGCATATCTGGCCAATTTAAAAGGTCTGACTTGTGCAACGAGCATCGCTTAAACGTAAGAAAGATTATGTCTTGAGTCCAGGATCTGGGCTGGACCCTTACTGAAACTCTAATGAAGCCTCGTGATTTACGGAAGATTGATTCACGAATACCCAACCTTGTTCCTACAATTCTTATTCGCAAAGGAGCTGTTCTAGTGCGTTTCCGTGTGTAAATATTTGTGAAATAATTGTAACATTGACGTCCAGATTAACATACTTCACATACGGGCGCTAGTTAAGGCCGATACAGTGGTTTTGTTTGACTCTTATGGGTCCAATGATTCCCGTCTTCATTCTGTGTTCCTGTACCATCTCGAGGTCATTTTTTTCCATCAAATATTTTACGTGTATTGACTGACCCCATTCAGCATAACCTTAAGGCCCGGGGTAGCGGCGCACCTTACGAATTCAGGTGAGTTTTCCCGCAACTTGCTTATTTCCGGCTGTATCGAGGTTTTATAGAGCAATAGAGTCGATCCTTCTCTCCGTGCTCAGCGCGCTAGAAGCCGAGATGGTGTTCATTCGTAACCTCGTAGGTGGCCTCTTGGCGGAGCTCGAGGATGATATCAATCATGACAAATTCAAACGCTTACTGCACTACTCAAGACGTCTGGTAGCCTTCAAAAATCGCGCTAAGCTCGTACGACTTTTTTTTTTTTGTCTTCCTTATGGTATTTTTTTAATTCCCATTCTAGGTCCAAGAGGCTCTAGAAGAAGTACTCGAACAAGGTTAGCACTGCAACCATTGTAATAGTGTAAAGGTTTGAACCTGCCTTGTTCAAGACGATGATTTGGATGCGATGTATCTCACCGACAAGAAAAATGGCGTTTCGCGCAACATGCATGAGCACGAGGAACTTGAGGTACTTCTTGAGTTTTTCTCCAAACAAGTAGAAGAAATTGCCAATGAAGCTGAAAACATCGAGGTGGATTTTTGACCCATATCGTTTTGCCGAAGACCTTAACAGCTTCGACAGGCCAATGTTCAATCTACTCAAGAGATTGTAGAGCTCATCTTAGACTCTAACCGGAACGCACTACTCGCATTGGACCTTAAAGTGAGCATTTTCGTCCCATTCCAGCGAGGTAAAGCTGAGATACGTGAGGTGTCTATCGCAACTATGGGAATTGGGACGGGAGCCCTGATCGCAGGTTTATTCGGCATGAACGTCAGTCACTCGTCACAAGATCTCTGATGCCCGTATTGATGCTCTTTTTTAATCCAGTTGAAAAGTCACATGGAGGAAATGCCCTATGCCTTCATGGCGATGTCCACCCTCTCATCAGCTGTCGCACTTTTCGTAGCATGGGCTGGCCTAAGAAGGTATTCCATCCGATCGCTGTTGCGGACCGTAATGTTTGTTTGACCTTCGTTCACATCACAGACTCGCTCAGATACGAAAAGTCGGACTTTCTAATCCCAAACGAGTACAAGATTTGGAAGCGCGTCCACGAATACCACTACCCTTGCGCCGGCGAAGTTCAAACGGATGGTCATGATGATCAACAAAACACATGGAATGTTATCGCTGCCTTACGCCCAACTTTACCATAGACGCATCAACCTTAATCGTTTGTGATGCCCGCGTCTGAAGGATCAGGCTGTATATTAATCGATCTACATCACGTTGACCATATCCGCACCTGCACGTTCGCGCCACATACCTCAGACGATGTCATATGTTTATGTCTTGTGATTAGATTATAGAACCAAAGGGAATTTCAGGGTGCCAAACCTCTCGCCAAGTGAGTCCGATGCCTCGATGCAAACCATCCCGGTGATCCTACAAGTTCTGTTGCCTGATTCCTCGAATCTTATCGGTAATTTCCAGCTAGGTTCATATGAAACCCTGTTGATATCAACAACCTGCACTGCACGCGTCAAGGATAGCGAAATGCCCTCATCCCTTCCTCCCCAATACAGTGATGTCGAAGCAAATGGTAAGATTAGCACCATACATCCCTACAACCTGTGGATCGGGCAATTGAAATTAAAGATAACGAGTTACGACGCAACATTCCTAGTTCTCGAAGGGGCAAAACCAGCTACAACATCCTCCAGTTGTATGTGTCCACGAAATATCATCCCGCAACATGTGATAGATAGGCAATGCGGACCCATCCGTAGTGCATATGCAAATTCTACATACATGGAACATGAAGGACTAGCGCATTGCCAATGCGAGTCATTGGGGGATGCACAGCCTATTCATCCCTTGGTAAAGGCATGTCAGGGATCAGATTATGAATGCGGTTGTGAGACAACCCTGGCATGGCATGCAGCGGAGGTAGTGACTCTGTGCCATGCAAATGTGACGATCCACTGGCGGTAATCTTGTTGTCTGCCGCGTTACGTAAGTCGTCATAAAACTCTGAGTGATCATAGTGTGGTACAGGTTTGCGAGAGGTGTGGTGAACGGACACAACGCCTTTTGAGGGCGAGCCCATGCCCGAGGTTGCAACTCCAGGTGAGGGTGGGTGCTCGTCCCGCCCTCGGCTAGGAGATGTGGGTGTACGCGGAGTGGGGGTAGCTAGGGCTGGCAATGAGAAGCGCTTGGTACGTAGGTACATGGAGCTTTCCATGGACGATCGTATTCTAACTGCTTGCAGCTCGAAGGCTTTGATTTGAATGATGCGTGGAGGTGGCATGAGTGCGATCAGCGTCATCACAGGATGATGGGTCTTGGAAGGGGTATGAACATTGAAGGGAGTTAACAGACATGCGGCGATTATAACGCGACAAGGGATTGTCTATAGCATCTGCAGGGATCATTCCCCTGGGCGAGCGAGGGTGTCCTTCTTTCTCCTCCCCATGACTTCCGTGATGTCCGTCTGAACCCTGCGTCGTTGTGGTCTCTGAGATTTTGCCAATATCTGCGACAATGAATATGTCACCCATTGACTTCGAATGACCACGGGAGCAAGTAGAGTCATCATTGCATCTCGCCAGTGACCTGGCAGCTAAGTCATCAGATCTCAACGAACTCCACCTCTTTCCCACGCTCTGCTTTGGTTTGCTGGCACGAGTTGGAGAGCGACATTGGCGACAAAGGTAATATGCGATGGCCAAGGCAAGAACGAGCATCCCTGCTAGACTACTAATCACGACTCCCACGATCTTGCCAACACTGAGTGACATTGATGAAGTTTCCCCTGCGGTTGCAGTGCTAGTGGGTCCCGACGATAAAGATGAGGAGAACAAGCAAGCTGTATCGGATCCATTACTAATGAAAAAAGCAGTGGAAGAGGCGTTGAGTGAAGCTATAGAGCCCTGTATTGTATACCAGCCCTGTGGTTGATCCACTTTAGGCCACGTCCAGGAGTTTAAGATAGCACTAGTGTTTGTTAAAGCCGTAGAGAACTGTCCAGCAGTATTTTGGCGGTGGGCGAGATTATGCTGTGGATATGAATGAAGATAATCGACGTTCATAATGGAGAGCAAAATGTTGCTTGATGAACCATTATAGGTCCAGTTGATGATGCCTGGGGCGCATGTCGTCATATTGTTGATGGCTTTGATTGAGAACTCGAAAGATGTTGATGAAAGGGTTGGTGCACTGGCCGTTGACGTCATGACATGCGAAGGAGTAAATGAGGACGAGGTAGACGAGGTTGTAAGCGATGAAGCAGGCAAAGAAGTTGAATCGACGCCTATGAGATCAGGATCTGGAGGTATAGTTGGCGAGGTAGTACTAGGGCCCACCTGCCGTTCGGCATGCTGAACAGGTTGAGCTAAAATACCTGCCCACTGGCCTGCACCACAGTAGAGCCAGCAGAGCGCCATCAAAATTGACAGCATTCTTACTCTTATGAGAATATCCGAATATGAGATAGTCGGACCGAAGTACTTACCGGCTGATAGTGTACATACTTATGCACAGTCAGTCAGTAGTGCTGGCACAAGATGATCAACAGGACAGCAAAATCCGGTAAAGGACTGTTGAGAAAGTAGCAGGAGAGGTGGTGTAAAAATTGCTACCGATGAGACTCCGATCCCCAACAACAATTACCTGTAACCTGGTGCGGATAGGGACCCGATACCGGGATTCCAGTACCGTGTGGAACCCAGTTTCCCAAGCGGGTTTGTGCCTCCGTTCTAACATTGTGTGTCTAAGGGATGACGGTAGCCCTGGACCTGCGGCATATGCGCACCGTCATGCCTGTTCAAGATTGAAGTTGAAGGAACTTTGGGGAAGTGAACCCTCAAGTTTTGTGCGCAGCACATGATGCGGGGTTCGGCTGAATGTTCGTCGGTTCAATGGTCTAGTGGTTATGATTTCTGTCTTACACACAGAAGGTCCTGAGTTCGACCCTCAGTTGAACCATCATTTTTGCATATATAGGGTGGCCGTGTACTCATCACTTTTAAATCTCTCCACAGGCAAAAATTTCGCTACAAAAGTACAAATAACTGTATATAGAATTATGTGTTGCGGTGGTCAGATTAATGTACAGACCCCCTGTAGGTGCTAAGGCGTCACACCTGGTATACATTTCGCCTTCCATTTCCTCCCGCAAAACACTCCGATCATCAGTTTCACACTGTCTCCTACTGTCTCAGCCTCAACTGTATTCGCCGTTCAGTTGGGATGCCGAAGTTTGACAGCCGACCGAGAGTTTGGCATATGTCGTCGATGTACACAGTATTCGTAGTGAATGACGAATATATATATAGTTACCCTGAGCGAGTGCAATTCAAGGAATCAAATGAGGTTAAGCGTGATCTCGACGGGGATAATTTAAACAGGGTAAAAGGGAAGACATAAACTCGCTGTTCACATGGGCACGGCGGAACCAAACAGAACTTAGCGGATCCGTAATGCGATGGTATAAGGAAACCTAACGTATTCGACGAGATGGGCATGGTTATCAGTATCAGCTGGCAGACCTGAAGTTGTTCATGGGACCACGGAAGAAGCATGGTGAAACACGCGAATCTTCTGACGCTTACATCACTCAGGAGAAAGGCGATCATGGGCACGGACCTAGTTACAATGGGACGGAACTAGACAAGACCTAGCTATTGCCAAATTTTTGACTCAGACGGAGAGTGACGGCGTCTTGGGGATTTAAACTTGCTGTCAATGCGAGAACATTGGAAACAAGCAAGTCAGTGGGGATTAACGAGGATGACCTGGCGTAACACGTGCCCGAGACTAGGGCGAAAGCGTAAAATCGAGCACCGCAAATTGCAAATCAATGAACTGTATATAAATCTATTTGGGTTAGAATATTTGACCAAGTAAGGTCGATCCTGAAGAATTGTGAAGATTGATTATCAATCCTTGCTAACACACTACCCAACCAGGAGTTTCCAGAGAAGGAACGGAAGTTAGGTCTTCAGTGTTCCTGTACTAGGATCATTTAAGATGGTTTAGAGTTTGCAAAGTACCGCTACATAAAAAATACACTCACAAAGCGTTGTTCTAGTTATAGGTAATGTATTACTTGAATCATGCACTGCGCAAACAGATGCTAGCCACGTTTCGCCAGGAGCTTTGCGCCCAATGTAAGGTTAGAATAAATTTGCAATTCCAGCGAATGATGCAGAAATGATGATACTTACTGCAAGATCATCCAGAAGGTAAAAGCTACCAGAATTTGGTCAAATGAGACTAAGAGTGGCGATTGGATTGTATTGATGAACACGGTGGTTTGGAATTAGGTCGATGTCATGAACTTCTCGATCGCAAACCTCTTCAAGCTCGGGCCGGCCTCAATGGTCACCTTGTCACAATTGATACCGTGAAGCATGAGAGTCGCCGTTCACATTAAAGTCCTGTACGATCATATCCTATGACATCGCCGCCAGAGATGGAGAGAAGATACATCGGCGCAAGAGGGAGAAAGTTGAAATGTGTCTTGTGAGCTGCGGTGTCTGGACCTACTGATTAGTTTGGTCACTGAAAAGTCTGGGTATGTAATGAAGACTACTTTCCTTCCGCATGCTAGACAGCACGAGACCAAAATTTGCACATCCACGAGGAAGTACGCATCTTGTGATAGGTTAGATTCGGCAAAAATAGGCTGGGCGATGTACACATTTGCGGCAAGCTGCAACGGTTTAGTATGAGCGCTGACAGTAAGAACTGTGTAGTCTAAATCTCCCAACCTTGCAGTTGAGACGACCATCTTTCTTCAAGTTAGTCTGCCGACAGGAAAGCGTGAGTGCATACTCATCCAGTCCTTAGGTTGTGTTACACTTACCACAATTCTATGTAACATGACAAATAATAACGTTGAAGTGACAACCTTTGCTACCGCATTCCGGAGAACACGGTATATGAAATGGGGGCTTTCACAAGAGTTGCCAAGAGCATTTGCAGGTCACCTGTAGGGTGTACAGGTTCCAACACTGATCGGTCGTCCCAGAATGCCCCTGGAATGTTTATGGAGCGAATGGATGACTATCTGTAGGCTCATAGTGCGGAATGGAATCATATAGAATAAAAAGATCAAGTAGAACCGCGATGCCGGGTTGAATTTGCAGTACACCTTCCAGACTATTATGATGATGGATGATTTTCCAAAAGCGAATGTGACTTCCTATTACCACCGCAAGCATGACGATAGAGGGCGCTTCATCCTGACAATTTTAATTTGCAATAAGTCAGATAGCAGCGTCATTTCATCTGAGCACTGACCGAATGAACCGCCGTCCTTCATTTGTTGGGCTATGTCATAATTAGATGCGCACAGTCATGACGACTACTTTCGCTGACATCGTTGAAGGCTCAGGCTCCTCAGGATGACATCATCCCTTTGTTCAACCATCCTCATGACCTCGCCCAGCACATTCGGACAGTGTTCCTCGAGTATCCTCGTCTTCATACTTTTTCCGAGTATGTGACCAGCTTTGGTACCAACTGTTGGAAGCCAGTGAAGCTGCTACTGAGCAGATGTCGGAGAAAGTTGTGGTTTCCAGGAATGCTTGTGGGAGGAAATCATGGTGACTTTTCAGCCCACGAAAAAAATGGGTTTGTCGTAACCATCTCAGATTGCGGATAATTATATGGGCAACTCCTCGCGATACCGCTCTGGTTGAAAGCTCGTGATCCACTGCAAACAATAGGTCACGAAACAGTCAGAGCTCGACATGATCTGTGACACATGAAGAATGAAGCTCCTGCGCCTACCCCACTTGTGTCATGTTTGGGGCCGCTGGATAACAAGGTTCCACGCAGGCGGACGAACGTGATGATGTTGGAGCCTGCGGATTAACTGGTTTGGGGCGCAGGTTCGTTGAAGACTCAGACAAGTCTCCATAGCCGGCGATCATGACTTGTGTTTTTCAGAAAGATTTTTGCTGAAACAGTTCAAATAAAGGCTAGTACCAGGCTCCTACCCACCACTGCTTCAAGGGTGAAGACATTGAGTGATCACGTGGTAGCAAATTTTCAAACCCAGCATAACTTTAATCCTTCACCCTCTCAGCAGCGGCTGGCAGATAACATTTGTAAACACTGCCAGCCACAGCGGCACGTCACTGCCGACGACGTGCGGACACTTAAATGCCTAAGAGATGTAGCATTTGTACCTAGGTCTAATAATAATATAATTTATTATTATTCTTGTGCTACTCAAACAATGATGACGACGGATCAAGTTGACGCCCTCTTGGAAGCATTCAATCTTGTTGGCATCTCAGCGTCAGAGTTCCTCGTTGAATTGCTAACTAATCCCCATTACACCACCCACGAGAATACAATCAATTTAAGATCATGCAGCCCGTGTATTATCAAGCTTCTCACAGGACACCCAGGAGCTTCTACAGGAGGTGCGCTGAAGTGGGCCAGTGATATCATGAAACATAGGTGTGCACTGGAGATTCAAGAACTATCAGCGAAGAAATCCGGCTACCATTTTTCAGTCTTGCATGCATCTGTAGAACAACTTGAAGAATTTGACATGGAAGAGTTAGGTGGAGGGATGCTACAATGCGCACCATTCTTGTGGGATATGCTTGATGTCCTTCTTTCGGCAAGGAGAAGTAGCAATTGGAGAGACTCACACAAAAGTTTGGATGACCAAGGCAATGATGATGATGAC